GGGAAGATGCTACTTGGAGGTGATTGACCTTGTGGGGCTTCTGTAGTTTCCATAAGGTTCACATAAGCACCCAATATTTAGGAAAGAATGCTGGTAACATAATACAAATGTACGACTTAAGCTTCAGATTCTATTTCACATTCTTTCAGCATGTTGTGATTCATAACATGCTGCACCACTTAACGAGCATTTGGTAGTGGAGCACTAAAATGGTGACTTTTGGGTGCTTATCTGAACTAAAATTTGAACCTTCTGAAGTTCACCCATAATTACAGCCTTCTAGTTTTAATTGTGTTGCCAGCAGTATTTTGGCAGTGAGGCTGAAAATACTCCAGGTTGATGCATTTCAGGTCTGAATTGTAAGCTGCAATTCAAGCTAATTATTTTTACGCTCTATTTTAGCAAATGCTCATCAAGAGGTGCAGCATATTATAGATTAAATGTGCTGTAGTAACATAAAATCCTAATTAGTATTTTTTAAATTTTCTGAATAGAAAATGAAACTCCCAAATTATCAAAGTTTAATATACATTGTGAATATATTTCCCATCTTATCGTTTCAATATTGTGAGCCAAACTGTTAACTTTTGTTGGAGGCTTTCTTTGCTGTTGAAAACACTCTTAGTGTTTTCTTAGTGCAGCACAGCAATATGATCTTTGCTCATATTACTGAGTTTTCATTGTGCTGTGTTGTTACCATTTATGATGATTATGACATAGGATTCTTAGCTATTACATAATTTGAAATGCCTATATGTAACTCTGCATGACACAACAGAGGGAGGCTCCATCATTGATAACACTTAGGCAAAAGGAAGATAATTTGATTTGCTGTTTTTTTTCTCTAGATGGGTTCAGCTTTGTTTAATTTACTGCAAATACAAGCATCCGAATTCCAAACTGAAGTCATGGAGCCCTAAGATACACCGTTACAGGTTGTCATCTATCTTGTCTTGATCTTGTGAAAGGCCTCAGCTTCAGTTTATGTGTTCTGGATTTTTACACCACTTTCCCTTGTTTGCTTTACAAATTAGTAGTTGTTAAATCCACACATTTGGAGACTTGGAGGTCTTTTGTTAATTTTCAGAGTATGCTCCTTTCTCTTAGTTTCAGTAAATTATTCACACAAATTTAATGTTGGCAAAAGATATGTTAGCTTCATCCTGTGTCCACCAGTGAAGAAAAGGCTACCCTAAAGGTTCACCTTATGTTGGTGGGTGGGTGTGGGTGGGTGGGTATGCGTGCGTGTGTGTGTGTGTGTGTTAGTGTGTGAAAAAAAGCAGTATACTTTCTACTAGTGATTTTGGATCTGACCTTTCAAGGGCAGTTCCTCATATATTTTTAAGACTGGCTTATTAAAAACAGTTTCTTAAAGATGTTACAGATAGGATGGTGATAGTAAGGAAATAACCCAAATCAATAACTGTGAGAGACTAAGGTAGTACCAAGTATGGGATGGAGCTGGAGAACAGAAAGCTTTATGCACCTTAGTCATAGTTTCTCTATTGACTTTCCAAAATAATCAGAAAATAAAGAGACATAGCCATAGCATTACCTGGTGTAATTCTATTTGCATTTAATGAAATAACAGCACAGATGGATTTTCCACTTCTTTTTTAGATATCTTACTTGTTTTCAAATGAATACTGATGTTATTTTTAATTTCACATACAGGGTGATGGAGAATGTACTCCAGATTCTACTTTTCCTTTTAAATGCAGAGCAGTAGGGGAAAGTAAACAGCTTCTTAAATAAGTTTGGATATATTTAAAAGAAGTTACAAAAGTACTTCTGATTTCTTGTTTTTGATATAAATTACTTCTACAAATTGATTCATTGTCTTAGTTAATAAATCCTCTGTGCTACGCTTAGTTTTCCATAAGGAAATATTCTGTTGATTTTGGGATATGGTATGTCTGTCTCAAACAGAACTCCCTTCTGATTTAAGCAGAGGTTTTTGCTCAAATATTAGTAGTATGATACAGCCCATAGTAATTTCGCATTGCTTTCATTTTGTCTTTAGGAATTTACTGAGGCACACTCCTGCTGA